AAGCACTAACACAGCCAAAGTCCCCAGGAAGAGCTATCTGGGTGAACACAGTGACATGAATTACCATCTTATGGATGAGAACCACCCATTTTCCAAGAATCAAGATTCCATAATCAGTGAAAAATTGTGTAATCTAGTGATTCAGAAAGTTCTCAAGAATGCTCAGGGACCCCGATAATCAAATTCTTTATGAGATGAGAAAGATACATGAGAAAATTATAGTTGCCTTTTGGGATTTAAAAACTGGTTTCTATCTACTTAACACATTACTTTTTTGTTCATCATAAATATACAATATTGAGGGAAGACAAATTAGTAGCTATTGATTCAATAAAGTTTACAGACACATACAGTATACATAAAGGAGAACCTGCTGAATTGGGAAATAACATAACAACCAGATTAAAAAATAATACTTTAACTCTTAAAAATTTTCTATTACAGATATTTTCAAATGCACAATACAGAGAACAGCATATTGAACCTAATGGATCATTGACCTATTTCATCAATTATTAATAGATTGCTAATTTCATTCATTAACACCCTCAACCAAATTACTTTGAAGCAAATCCCAGATATCACAGAATTTCAAATATAAATATTTACATACATCTCAAAAAATGACTTTTTAAAAACAATAACCACAACACAACTGACGTCTAAAAAATTTTAACAATATATCCTTAGACTCAAAATATAGTCAATGTTTACATTTCCCTGGTTGTCCTATAAAATTTTGCTATTATTTTTATTTTGCTTTTTAAACTGTTTGGTTTGAATGGAAATCCAACTAAATCTACCTTCTGATTAGTTGATAGGTCTCTTATATTTCTTTTAATATTTAGGCTTCAAATTTTCTTTTCATGTTGATAAAACAAAAGTAGTATATTAAAAAATTTGAATACACTTGTGAACTACAATTGATTAAACAGTATTTTTAAAGAGGCAATACACTAGGATACTCAGGGAATTGGACTTTTTTAAAAACTACTACAGGATACAGTGAACATTTAGGAAAGATTTCTGCTTCCAGACAAAATGGAGTAACAAGAAACAAATTTATACTCTTGCCTGAACCCATGAACAAAAAACTAGACAAAATATAGAAAACTACAGTTTTTAAACATTACACACTAGTCAACATAGGACAGTGATTTGAGAGAAAGGAAACAAACAAGGTAAACCCTTTGACTGCCCCAGCTTACTGCCTAGAGTTCCCAGGTCACAGCATAAGAAGGTTAATTCAGGAAGAGCCCAGCGGTGTCTGAGTTGGGCATCCAAAGAAGCTAAGACAGCCAGAATTCAGGGGGCAGAGTGCCAGAGAAGAGAGAGCTGCAGAGAGAAGGGGCTCTGGAGTTCTCCAGAATCCCCCTCTAGTCTTCAGCTGAGTAGAGATCAGTGTATGTATAAGAAGAAATTACTGAAATCCTGAGAAAGAATAATGTGAAAGTTTTAGAGGAAACAATCCCCAGGTTCACACAAAGCCAGAAACAGCTCCTGTTCCTACCAGTCCAAGTAAAAGATCTCATTCTAGGTACATCTGTTACAGTACTTAAAATGATTTGGCTTGGGTAGCAAAACGAAATTAGTTCAAGGCTAAATGTTTCCCCAGTCACATGTAACAGTATGAAGCAAGACCTGAAAAGATGAAACTGCCTTTCAATAAGTTAACCACATCCTAGAATAAAGCTCAAGAATATTTATTAAAATACAAAAATATCCAGCACCAAATAAGGTAGAATTCACACTGTCTGGAATCCAAAAAAAGAATTACCAAGCATGCAAAAAAGCAGGAAAATGTAATCTATAATGAAGAGAGAGATCATTCAATTGCAAACCATCCAGAAATGGCAAAGATGATAGAATTAGTACCAAAGATTCTAAGTAGAACCTTTGATGAATAGAGTTACAACTCTATTCACACATTCAAGAAGCTACAGGAAAAATTAAACATGTTAACTAGATATATGGAAGACTTTTCTTCTAAATGAAAATTGATCTTCTGGAAGACAAAAAACTATAATGTCAAAAATGAAAAATAAATTGGATGGGATTAACAGATGACTGGATATTGCAGAAAAATAATTACTGAATTTGAAAATAGCCATGAAAACTATTCAAAATGCAACAAAGAGAAAAATGAATGAAAAAAGTAAACAGCCCAATCATGTTGAGTCAGTTGGCTGTCCTTGGCCTGGAAAGCTAAGGGTCGCTGCCTGGCTTGCAGTCTGGTCTTGGCTGGCTTGCATGCAATAGGCAACCAAACCAATGTTTCTCTCTCTCTCTCTCTCTCCCTCCCTCTCTTCCCCTCTCTCAAAAACAAATAAATAAAATCTTTTTTAAATTAATTAATTAATTAATTAATTAATTTAAAAAGTGGGGGAAGTAACAAATTATCAGTGATCTGTGGGACTACGATTGGTACAAGAAATCAAATAGATGTATATTTGGAGTCCTAAAGTATAGAAGAGAAGAGGAGATCAGCAAAAATATGTGAAGAAATAACAGACAAAACTTTTCCCAAATCTCATTAAATATATATTCCTGTTTATCAAAAAAAGCAAAACAGGCCAATATCTCATAAACAGAAAAGCAAAAATTCTTTACAAATTATTAGCAAATTGGATCCAACAATATAGTAAAAAGATAACACATTACCACCAAGTAGAATTTATCCCAGGAATGCAATTGCTGATTAAACAGCTAACAATCAACCAATCGCTATATTAACTAAGAAAATTATAAGATCATCTCAATAGATGCAAAAAAGCACTTGAAAAAGTTCAATACCCACTCCTATTGAAAACTGTCAGCACACTACACAAAGAAGACTTCCTCAACACAAAAAAGAATATCTATGACAAATCTATAGCAACCATTATAATTAGAAGTAAATGACTAAATGTTACTTCCATAGAATCACGAACAAGGCAAGAATGTCCTAGCCAGTGTAATTAAGAAAATGAAGTTAATCAAAGGAATCCAGATTGGAACGAATAAAGTAAAACTAGATGCCCAGAAGATCTGACTATCCATGTACAAAATCTTATAGAATCTACAGAAGTGGTACTAGAACAAATGAATTTAGCAGATTCCTGGAACAGAATATCACTGTAATAAAAATCAATCATATTTCTGTGTGTTGGCAATAAACAGATGGAAATTAACATGTGCAATTTATCATAGCATCAAAAAGAATAAAGTACTAATATACAAACTGGATAAAAGCTGTGCAAGACCTGTATGCTGAAAACTATAAAACACTTCCAGAGAGGTTAAAGAAATTCTTAATAAATAGATATGTTATAATTCAAATCAAAACTCCAACACCTATTTATAGAAACTAACAGGCTAATTCTAAAATTCATATGGAAATGCAAAATGCCTAAAACAGTCAAAACAATTTGAAAACAAAGAACACAGCTGAAGAACCATGTACATGAGAAAATCAGCTACTTCCAGACAAGTGTACCAACATATTACATCATTTGAACAGAAAAACAGCCATCACTTTTTCCCATGTATTTTATTTTTGTAAAATATAAAATACTACAAATGTCCACTTTGATAATTGCCTCATTTTATTTCCTCATTCCTCCTTTCCAAAAGTAATCACAGTGAGTTTAGTAACCTTCTTTCCAGACCTTTTTTGTTAAAAAAAATATATTTTTTTCTACACCCTGAACAATAATGGATAGTATTAGTCTCTTAATTTTGCTACTCTAAATAAGGTGAAAATATCATCTAATTTTAATTCATACTTCTTTGATTAATATGAGTGGGCACCTCTTTGTGTATTTATACACCATCAATATTTTCTTTTCTATAAATTGTCTATTTGTATCCCTTATAATTTTTTAGAATTTTGAGTTATCTTTTCTTCATTCATATTTTATACTACTTAACACTGTGGAAATAATTAAACACTTACTAGAAATTCTCTTAGTAAATCATATTTGCTTTTCCACACCCTTGTTTTATTGAAAACAAATATTAAAAATTAATATTTCTTTGAAAATATTTTATAATTAATCCTTCTAGTATCACAATTAAACACATAAGAATATGATTAAAAGGATACCTTTAATTTATTTAGGTAAAAGGATTCCAGATTTTTCAAAACTATATTAATTTAGTTTCTATGACTTCAAATTATAAGTAAAATAAAGTGATTCCTATAGTACTGTTTGTCATAAATTTCAACACAGAACATTAATGTAACCTTCACAGACAAGTGTACTGAACAAAGACTGAGTATGAGACAGTATTGAGACATACATGTGAATAATGTTACACATGCTAACAAGATGGTGGTTACATTTTGTTAACGGACAAATTTATAAAACTATGAAGGCAAAATAGGATATCAAGGATTTGCTTTAAAATACTAGGAGAAAAAGGAGATGCGTGAAATGAAAGAAGAAAACAAACATTTTTAATTATTGGAGCTGGATGACAGGTTAATGAGGGCCCTTTACAATGTTGTCTCTACTTCTATAAATATTTGAAAAAGTTCAAAGTGTTTTTAATGAAAGTTGTATGTTAATGCTGGAGAAAAGATGTGATCTGATTAATCTTAGTGTCACAATGTATTTCTGCAGAAGAGAAAGATTAAGTGTATTTATTTTAACAACTTCCCGAGATTAAAAATTAGTTTAGACTCCAAACTGGAATACACAAGATACTTTTAAAGTTTCATAATAAAAAGACTCCAGTTGAGTACTTAGTAACACAAAAACATCCCTATAATCAACAATAAAAGCAAAAATTAACTCTCATCTCTTTTCTACTTTAATTCATAATATTCTATTCCATCCAGAGGTCTACCAAGTATACAAATTGTTCCAAAACCACAGAACAAGTGAGTCCTTAACTCTAAGGCAAGGTAAGGCTGATGTATAACCACAGCAGCAAACTTCTGAAGGTAAAAATAGCCTTCAAACATTGCATGCAACAAACCAAAGATGAAGGAAAGTCAGGCAGAATAGAGTGGTTACCAGGGAGGAATTCGGCCAGCTGAGAGCTTGCCCTTCTGCCCTTCACACAAGAGTCTGTTCGCAACTGAGACTGGGTTCTTGATTCCTATAAAATAAAATTAACAAAAAAATGAAGTCAAAAAAAGTTTTCAGGTTTCCTTGTCATTTTTTGGCAGTTTCAGTGAAACAACTTTTAAATGTCTTAGAAAACCCTTAATTATCATGAACAGATCAAATTAACAAATACATGAACACCTACTAAATGCAAAAAAATAAGAAAGATAAAACATACCTTCTCATGCTTTGTTACATGCTACAACATATAGTGAAGACTGAATTTTAAATAATATGTATTTAGAGACTCCCAGCCAAGATGGAGACAGAGGTAGACACACTGTGCCTTCTCACACAACCAAATTTAAGGACAACAAAAATTTAGAAAAAAAAAAAAACAGAACAGGAAATTGAACTGTACAGAACTCCGACAACCATTCATCCAGACCAGTAAGAGGAGAAGAGTTGGCGGCCAGCAGAGAGGGCTCACGGCAAAAAAAAAAAAAAAAGCAGTGGCTGGTGGACCTGGGTACGCAGGCAGTGGCTGGCAGACCCAGGGCACTGGGGGGCAACGAGCAGACCCAGTGAGGCGTGCAAGGCAGCTGGCTGACCACTGTCACACATTCAAGCACAGATAAACCAGACGAAAACAGGCAGCAAGACAGACCACACAACCCTGGGCCCCAGCGCCAGGAAATAAAGCCTAAAAGCACTGATTGAAAACATTTTGGGGGTTGAGATGCCAGGAGAGACTCCCAGCCTCACAGGAGAGTTCGCTGGAGAGACCCACAGGGTCCTAGAACGTACACAAACCCACCCATCCGAGAACCAGCACCAGAAAGGCCCAATTTGCTTGTGGAAAGCAGCAGAAGGTACTGAAATCCAAGAGACAACTGAACAAGCACCACTGTTCCCACTCTGACCCTCTCCCCACATACAGCATCACAACGCAATAACATGGGTTGCCCCACCCTGGTGAACACCTAAGGCTCCACCCCTCACTATGTAGCAGGCACAACCAGACCCCCCCACCAAAAAGGCTCAAATGGAAGAACAGATCAAAGCCACAAAGCCAGTATGTCTAAGCGACCAAGAGATAGCCAACCTATCAGATGCAGAGTTCAAAACACGGGTGATCAGGATGCTCACAGAACTGGTTGACTTTAGTCACAAATTAGAGGAACATATGAAGGCTAAACTAATTGAAATGAAGGGAAATGCACAGGGAACCAATAGTGATGGAAAGAAAACTGGGACTCAAATCAGTGGAGTGGACCAGAAAGAAGAAACAACCAAACAGAAAAGAATGAAGAAACAAGAATTTAAAAATATGAGGAGAGGCTAAGAAACCTCCAGGACATCTTTAAACACTCCAACATCCAAATTATAGGGGTACCAGAAGGGGAGGAGGAACAGCCACGAGTGGAAAACTTATCTGAACAAATAATAAAGGAGAACTTCCCCAATCTGGCAAAGGAAATAGACCTCCAGGAAGTCCAGGAGGCTCAGAGAGTCCCAAACAAGTTGGACCCAAGAAGGAACACACCAAGGCACATCATCATTACATTAGCCAAGATTAAAATGAAGGAGAGAATCCTAGAAGCAGCAAGAGATAAGGGGACAGTCACCTACGAAGGAGTTCCCATCAGACTGTCAGCAGATTTCTCAAAAGAGATCTTACAGGCAAGAAGGGGCTGGAAAGAAGTATTCCGAGTCATGAAATCCAAAGACCTACATCCAAGATTGCTCTATCCAGCAAAGCTTTCATTTACAATGGAAGGGCAGATAAAGTGCTTCTCAGATAAAGTCTAGTTAAAAAAGTTCATCATCACCAAGCCCTTATTATATGAAATGTTAAAGAGACTTATCTAAGAAAAGGAAGATAAAAAATATGAACAGTAAAAAGACAGCAAACTCACAGTTATTAACAACCACACCTAAAACAAAAGCAAACAACTAGAAGAACAGGAGCAAAACCACGGAAATGGAGATCACATGGAGGGTTAGCAACAGGGGAGTGGGACAAGAGAGGAAGAAAGGTACAGAGAATAAGTAGCATAGATGGTAGGTAGAAAAGAGGGGTAGGGCAAGAATAGTATGGGAAATGTAGAAGCTAAAGAATTTATGACACAGGGACATGAACTAAAGGGGGGGAATGTGGATGGGAGGGGGTGTGCAAGGTGGAAGGGAATGAAGCAGGGAAATGGGACAACTGTAATAGCATAACCAATAAAATATATTAAAAATAAAAAATAAATAAATAATAGGTATTTAAATTATGTTCCTTTTTAATAGATTTCAGAATGGAATGGAAAAATGAGCAAAAAAGTGGCATCAGAGGACTTCTGATCAAGACAGCAACACAGGTAAACACGGCTCACCTCCTCACAGAGCCACATCAAAATTGCAACTAAAATATAGAACTACCATCACACAAAGGTGTCAGAAATCAAGTTAAATGGAAGTCATACGACTATGGCATTAAAAAAATCACATCCATCTAGACTTAAGAGGGGCAGAGATGCAGAACAGCTGGTCCCATATCCACATTTGGTGGAGAAAAGTTTGGGAGGGGTATTTCAGGAGTGAAGAGTCCCAGCCCCACACAAGGGCTTCCAGTATAGGGTTCCAGTGCTGGGAAGATAAGACCCCAAATCTCTGGCTATAAAAATCAGCAGGGACTGAGTCAGTGGAAGAAACTTCTAGAGTCCTAAGCATTTGCTCTTAAAGAACCTACACAAACTCACTCCCTCTGAGCTCCACCAACAAAGATGCAGCTTGAAAGGCACCAGTGGCATACAGGGAGGAAGTGAAGGGTCTGGCATCAAGGCAAGAGCCAGGGGACAGCTTTTACCCAGATACTGTCCCTTTTCTGACCATGCCCACACAGAGCCACAAGACCCAGCTGGCAGAGGCCATATCTGAGACTCAATCAGCCTGGTTAACATACTTTACCCCACCCTAAAGACTCTGTCCCACCTAATTTACAGGCCCACCCAAGCTGTTAAAAGAGACAGTTCCATATGAATGCCTGGACTTGGCTCAAATTTCACAACTTCCTAAATCCTCTCAAACAAGCAACGGTTGGCCTCAGTGAGTCTTCAGCCACTCTCACTAAGTGGCTCCAGGCATGGCATTAGAAGCAGACTGCCCAGATTCAAAGCTAGGCTTCACCTGGGACTCTCCAAGCCCAGCACAAGTAGAAACCATCTCAGACTGCTTTATAGCCTAGGCAGGGTTGCCCCGGTCAAAACAAAGGTGGGGACTGACCTTGGCCTACACCACCTGGGGAACACCAGAGCTTCCCATACAGCTACAGACCATGTCAGAGCACCAGCACCCTGCCCCTGCACAGCTGATCCTCTAAAGAGAGAGGATATCGGTGGTCAGTGGCCAAAGCCAGTCCTTGCCACTGACTGGCCTGGGTAAATCCCTCCCATTGATCTGCCAACAGCAACCCAAGGCTCAACTATAAGAGGAGGGTGTACTCAGCCCACAGGAAGGGCACACCTTGATAGGAGAGCCTGTGCTGCTGGACACTAAAGGACCCCCACTACATTAGGGCACACTACCCAGACATGGAGTCAATGCAGCTTTACCTCATACATAGAAACAAACACAGGGAGGCTGCCAAAACGATAACACAAAGAAACATGGCCCAAATAAAAGATCAAAACTCAGGAAAAATACCTAATCAAAATAAAATAAGTAATCAATCAGATGCTGAGTTCAAAACACTTGTTATAAGGATGCTCAAGAAACTTAGGGAGGACCTCGACAGCATAAAAAGATCCAGTCAGAAACAAAGGATACATTCATTTAAATAAGAAAACAATTTACAGGGAAACAAAAATAGAGAGAATGAGGCCAAGAATCAAATCAATGACTTGGAACATAAGGAAGCAAAAAACAACCATGCAAAACAAGAAGAAAAAGAATTCAATAAAACAAGGGCAGTGTAAGCAGCCTACTGGACAACGTCAAGCATTTCAACATTCGCATCATAGGTATGGCAGAAAGAGAAGAAAAAGACCAAGAAACTGGAAAACTATCTGAAAAAATAATGAAAGAAAACTTACCTAATCTGTGAAGGAAAGAGACATGCAAGTCCAGGAAGCACAGAGAGTCCCAAACAAGATGGATGCAAAGAGGCCCACTCTAAATTACATCATAATTAAAATGCCAAAGATTAAAGGTAAAGAGAGAATCTTAAAAGCAGCAAGACAAAAGAAGTTAGTTGCCTACAGGGGAGATCCCATAAGACTGTCAGGTAATTTCTCAAAGAAATTTTGCAGGCTAGAAAGGACTGGTAAGAAATGTTCAAAGTCATGAAAAGCAGGCACCTACAGCCAAGATTGCTCTACCCAGCAAAGCTATCATTTACAATCAGAGGACAGATAAAGAGTTTCCCAGACAAGATGAAGCTGAAGGAGTTTATCATCACCAAACCACTATTATATGAAATATTGAGGGGACTTGTTTAAGAAAAAAGATAAAAATATGAATATTAAAATGGCAATACATACATAATTATCAAAAACAGTCTAAAAAACCAACTAAGCAAACAAGCGGAACAGAAACAGAATTAAAGCTATGGAGAACACTGGGATGATGATCAGTGGGGAAGGGATCTGAGGGAATGGGGGGAAAGGTGAAGGGATTAAGGAGTACAAACTGATACAGAATAGGCAAGGGGGTGTTAAGACAAAGTATAGAGTTGCCAAAGAACTTATATGCATGACCCATGGACATGAACAAAAAAAGGGGCAATTGCCAGAGGGAGTGTGGCATGCTGGGGGGGGGGGGAGGCACATAGGGGTAAAATTGGGACAATTATAACAGCACAATTAATCCCAAATAACATAATAAATTAAAAAATAAAGTGGCATCAACAATCAAAGCCATCAGTTTCCTTTAAAGAATAAACATGATAACAAACAGCTTCAAATTTACCTCGGGTGAAAAATTAATGGCCGAATATTTTAAATCTCACCTGCAAGAGAGACTGAATATAGAGGATGTCCTGCAAATCAGGCAAGAGTGGGTAGAAGA